TGATTATATCGTTGATTAAATACGCAGGAACATGCCATACATATGAACGGTTTCTAAAAAGGGGTAAATTATTGACAAAGGTGTTGATGAAACACGAAATTCAAGAATAGTTGTCTCGTTTAAAAACATCATGCTTTATGGTCGATCGCGATACACTTTCATTTTATTCAAAAAATGCAATATTGTATCATACCATTTGTAAGATGTTTGCTTTTATACTAAATTTGACTACATGAACGATACACACCCATTCTCAATATAAGGGCGCAAATAATGTCGCCTCGTTTTCATTTAGAAGAAATACCACTGATGTAATTTTTTAATCAACATTATAAATAGTCATATAACAATAAATAAGAATTCATATAATTATCGATCCAAAAGGGTATTTAAGGAGTTCAAAATTCAAATATAGTAGCCTATTTGAAATGTACGTTACTGTCGCCGAGGCAAATATTATTCTGAATCCCCTCTGTGTAATATATAGTTTTGATTCTCAAGTAAAAAAGTTAAACCTTGTATCATATATATTTCTTTTCATAACAATAAATACATTTTCTTTGTGATAATAAATAATTTTTATTGTGCAATGTCCCTGTCGCTTAATTCTATTTCAACCACATTACAAGCAAACACAAAGATTATACATCTGATAGTTTTGTTCTCCTTTATTTATTGATTGGCTAAATTTAAATTTCAAAGGATTAATTACTCCTACTTAGATAATGTAACATGAAATTGAACAACTTGAGCAACTTTTATAAATATGTTTACGGAATGAAAGACATTTTCAATCGTAGAGATAAGAAAGAAATGTACGTTACCTATATTCTTCCATTAAGAATACATATTAAAAATAAACATAAGAAAATATGAGACGACTCTGAATAAGCAACCCCTTGTATCCTGTAAACTGGCAAAGACGTTTTGCTTAACACAATTAAAAATTATTTTTTTTATGAAAAGTGATCATTTGAAATGTACGTGACTGAAATGTACGTTACCATGAAATTCGAATTAAGTGAATCTCGCGCGATTTTTCATGTATTCTAATACTGTCACACACTTGAATGTTTACACAAAGGAAAGTTTCAAAGGTTGGAGGTCGGCTAAATCCCAAAATTAATGAAAAGAATCGTCTCTGCCGAGGAAAAAAATATATTAAGGTCAATTATTATGTAATATAATTTTGATAAATGGTATATTTTTCTGAATACGAAACCTGTATGATGCATTTCTTATGATATGCAGGTTCAAAAAGTATCAATATATTGCGTGTCTAACGTATGCTTGTGGAAGAGAATTGATTTTTATATTTGAAATGTATGTATGGTAACGTACATTTTATGTATTTCTAACTGACATTTTTTATAAATTTAGTCAATGAATTACGTTAACACGAGCGAAACAAAATTATCTTAACAATCCATTTGACAACTGGCCACATAAATCCATCTTAATGCACCCCCAATCCTCGTAAATGTTTTAAACTGTTACCACATGCTAGAAAATATATTTCTAAGTGTCTTAAATTCATCTTTGGCAACCTTTTTGCAGTTTGTTTACTTTTCATATGCGACTTTGCGTCAATATTAATTGATTAGTTGTTGATAATTTAAAACAAGGTATGCATTGGCTTATAATTGGTAAAAAAAAAAGAAACAAAACAAATAAACCCAGAACACAAGACGGTCACGTACATTTCAAATACTGAATACTCAGTTTTGTTTGAATCATTGCATTTTGGGTTATATTTTTCCAGATCTGCTGAAAAGCACGTATGTTTGTGTTTTGAAAAACGATGTTGCAACATACTAAATGAAATTGTTAACAAGACTGTCGATGGATATATTCGGAATAGATTTATGTTAAGTTTCAATGACCAAATACGAACATTTGTTAGATCATAGCAAAATACATCTGACTCATATTTTTTTGTCTGTACCCTTGCACAAGTTAGAAGTAACTAGGCTACGACCGGTGTCAATTTCAGCGAAACAGCACAAAAGAATGGTAATGAACTGAGGTGGAGGGGACTCCCCAATATTATGTGAAATGAACGTTACCGAAGTGACGTGACAGTCATGTAGTTGATGACAATAACCTCGTTTGTTACATTATGATTTCTTATATAACTGCCTTAAAACACTTCATTGATATGATTTTTATGTCAATAATAGCTTTTTTTTCAATATTTTCTTATGACTAATTTACATAAATGTACGTTACCTTCTCATATTCTGAGGCAATCGTGTCTTTATAGTGGTGATTGTGACATATAACACTATGTGATTACAAAGAGAATCTTTTTAGGAATAAACTGAAACAAAACGATGAATTTTTAAATGAATTTTAGATGAATTTTAAGCTTTTTATTAAACAGAAATATATCTTGAAATGTACGTTACATTTACATAGTTTTCTAAATCGGCATGGATATATGTTAAACAAGACAGTAACTACAAAATAGAATTTTACTACATGTACATGTTAGGTTCCAGTAACTGTATCTATTAAAAATGACAAGATTCCAAACTGATCGCTCTTAACAAAACAGAGAGAAGAATTTAAAGCATATATTTAAAAATGTTTTTATACATCTGGATCAAAAAGTAACCTTTGTTTTTTGAAAGGAAAAATCAAACGCACGTTCGTATGCCGCGAAAATATGTTGCTGACAGAGTTGGTAGGATGTGCTGGTGTTAAGATGAGATATTCCAATTGTGATTTTAATGACTACATCTTTTTTGACATATTTTTTTTAGAAATTGAAGAAAGAGTAACGTACATTTCAAGCTACATTTCTGAATAAAATCACCCTCTTCTTTATCGTCTTGTCATTATTCCATGTATTATAATTTGATGAAAAAAATCTGGAAACAAAATCTTCAGATACTTTCTTTCAAAGTTAATTGATAGAAAACCTGTTATCTTGAACTTCATTTTTTATAAAAAATCAGAGAGGCATTTGTGCCCTTATATTGAGAATGGGTGTACAGCGTTGATGGCGGATGAGACCGTCAACAGGGAAAGCTTACTCCTTCTAAGTACCCAATCCCTTCTCTGATAACAACTGGGGTCCGCGTTTTATTCCTGTTCATGATTTGTCATCTACACCGAAAGCTAATTGCCTTCCTAGCCATTTTCGTTTCTTAATGTTTTTCAAGTATAATTTTGAGTTTTTCAATACTTGACTGTCGGTAAAAATCTAAAAAGTACTTTGAACGTTAAATATGCCATTTTCATTTTTTATTATATATTACTTTATCAATATATACTTAACATTAATAAATTATGTTAAAATAAGGACTATTTTTACAAGCTTTAATTTTATATTAAAAAAGTTGCAAAGACATTCTATCAATACTTATTTGCTCTCACAGACTCCAAAAATACTAGTACGAAGTCTCAAGATAAGCCACAGTCATCAAACACAGAGCCGAATGCTGAAATATCAACTCAGTTTATACCGATGTCTTCTCAAAATCAAGATTTGGGTTTGATAATACATCCTTGATTAAAAAGCATCCTGGAATTGTTTTTAAAGTTTTTAAATTTCCATCTCACATTATTCCTCCTGCTTTGTGGTTCATAGATTAATATTCAAAGTAATACATAAACATTGTCTTAAAGGTCATTATTATTATTGGTAAATTTAATTCAAATTATACTTAAACATTATTACAACATCCAATAAAAAGGGCGATTCTAACAAGCTTAATATTTATGTGACCAAGTGAAATAAAGATGTCGATGTAGGTTTCTATATTTATTTTCGTAACATATAAGGTGATTCTTGTGCGAGGTGGAAGTGTCTAATCAGGGCGCCGGATCTGCAGTGATTTGAATTTAGATTTGGCTAGCTTATAATACAAAAGGAACGACCTGATTTTATGGTTCATTATGAAAACAGCCAATGAAAATTCTTAACCAATAGTAAATCAAAGAAAATGCTAACCAACTCAATCCACCTGCGCACACAAACTAGTCTAACATTACTCTCAAAGACATCGTTCAATGAGGTATTTAGAAACGTAGTAAAAATGCAAAATTTTAATAAATATATTCAATATATATAAATCCGCCCACATTTAAATTAAAATTTAGCAAGAATATCTCTATATAATTGGCTGCTCTTGTAGGCTCCTTGCCTTGCTATTCATATAGCATGTGTACTTGGATCGACTCTTAAAAAAAATGGGGAAAAAAGCAACCCAAATCAAAGATTGTTTTAACATATTAAAGCTTTTGATTTTTTTTTTTGTGTGCAAAAGATAAATTTCCATTGTTTGAGTAACTGTACACTACTTTGGGTGCATTGGGGCGGAGATCAGTATAATGGCTTCTCATTGTACTGATTCATTACCCATCATTTATCCTGTTAAATATAATTGACCTCCTTTATAATTTCATTCAAGACGTAACTGCTTGATCACTGGTCACTATCAATAGCCCCTAAACTTTCAGAACTTTGAGTACAAAGTCTCTCAAGGAGACAAAATTTGATGTCTTGAGTGATTTGTATTGGGAAGAGCTCAGTTTTCATTATTTGTACTTTTTTTACATGCTAAAAAATAACACATTTGAGAAAAGTATGTAATAAAATAACTAAATCAAGCTATTCTGAATAGCTTAATAAAGCTATATACACTGTACACAATAAAGCTGAACCACGCTATACAGCTAAATCAAGAGACTGTGCCAAACCTGTAGAAATGTTTATGAGTGACATGTTACGTTAGAAACTATGTAATGATATTTTGTCTTTCATCATTCAGATTGGGTACAGAACATACGATAGACTTTTAGACATAAAAAGGTAAAAGATATATTATTATCTTCTAGCTGTTAAAAGTGGTAAAAACAAGAAGAAAAAAAAACAACCAAACAATATAAAACATTAAAAAGACAAAATAGTGCCCATTTAATATGGTAATTAAGTTAAATAGGTTATAGTATTAAAATACCAATTAATAGTAAATAATGATTTTTTCTTCTTTTCTTTTGTAGAGAGTTTGATGTAGGCGTGGATCTAGGTTCTGGACTTGGATATGTTTCCCGTCAAGTTTTAAAAGATACCGTCAAATTTCTATATCAGTGTGAACTCTCAGAAAAATTACTGGTAAGTTTAATGCACATTATTTAATGCATAGTCAATTGAAATGATTCACCTAATGAAGGAAACCAAGCATTTTTTTCCATAATTATTTTTTATTTATACCGGGTAATCCATTTGCAACTTATTTTGTATCTCAAAAACAAGAAATTCATTTTCTATGTGAGTCACAATCAAGGCATAGTTTTTTATTCAGAGACAAGCACAGGTTTCACCAGAAGTTCCTACTCAAAAAATGATAGTTGATGAAGAATTTCTCCCCTTTAAAGAGAATTCTTTGGATGTAATTGTGAGCAGTTTAAGGTGAGTACTGATCAAAGTGTGGTCATAAGTTGATAAGAGACAGTTATTTCTGCCATTATGTAAAGTTTTTTCTGGGTAAACCCTGCACTAAAAAATAAAAAAAAACATATTCCACATGAAAAACAGCAGGTGTTCTTTATTTTTCTGTATTTTTAAGGTGTATAAACAGTTAATTTCTCTTTGTACAGCTTACACTGGGTCAATGATTTACCAGGGTGTTTCAAGGCTGTAAGTATTAAAGTGTTTATGTACTAGTATGTGTATGTATAAAGTTCATTTTTGCTTGATTATTAAATGAACATGTATCTTTAAATAATTTTTTGAAATTCCTTGGACAGAAAATGTACAAAAGTTAATTATTGCAATATAAAACTTTTAAAGACGAATGTAAGTTGATACTTTGCAAACTGAGCAATACTCCGGTAATCATGGTAATGAAGTAGGCTTTTTTTATGCTTGCCCATGTCCAGAAATGTCCAGAAAATATTAAGCATTACTGTCTTTCTGAGCAGGCTCAGAAGGCTTTAAAACCGGACTGTCCATTTATCCTGAGTATGTTTGGAGGTGACACACTGTTTGAACTCAGGGTTTCTCTACAGTTAGCAGAACAGGAAATACAGGGGGTAGGTACCAGGATGAACTGGTTCTCCATTCCCAACAATTTATCATTAGGCATCCAAAATCTAAACTTCTTTTACAAATTCAAAAACATGATGAAGCGCTAGCATGCATGAAATTTAACTTAATTTTTATTAATTATTTAATTAATTTTAATTCATACAAAATTCATAGCTTCATTCAAGCTCATTTGAAAATAAATGCAAGAAAAAAAAAACAGTTCATGGTTTTCATCAGTTATGTTACACTCCTCTTGTTTGATTTACAGGGGATTAGTCCACACATTTCACCTTTCACTGATGTCCGTGATCTAGGTAACCTATTAAACAGAGCTGGATTCACCATGTTAACTATTGTAAGTGTGCCAAATAAATCAAGGAACTGATAATACTGACGGGTAAAGTGAGAAGTTATACAAAAGATAGACCTAAAGCAGTATCCAGTTTGTCAACAAAAGGAGCATGTTTAAAAGAAGTCGAAATTGTATAAATAAAACATATTTTAATAAAAATTAGGTTTTCTTGCTTTCATGTATCATACTCATAAAGAAGGGATCTGCTGACATACCTATATTTGTTATTATGAGTAACAATTTTCCCCCTTCTATTTTACAGGATATTGATGAAATAAAAACCACTTATGAGAACATGTTATCCTTAATGCTGGATTTGAAAGGTATCAAGACCGTAATCCAATATTTAAAGCTTAACTACCTACTGCTAATTCTATCTTAGCTATGTTACAACGCACTTTGAAAAATTACGCACTTTGAAAAAAATTTTCATAGTGCGTTAAAATTTGGGACCAACCTAACGCACTTTGAGAAAAATAATTTTATTTCAAAGTGCGTTAATATCGACCATGTTAATGCACTTTGAAAAAAAAATGTTAAGATTGATCAATATTCCTTCAAATAATTGGTATGATAAATAACAGATCCTGGTTTGATAGTTTTTTTATGATAAAGTCACTGTAGGACCTGAGATATTGATGTTTTAAATATTTAAGGTTTTGATGAAATAAGGTCTTGAAAAAAAGAGTGACGATTGTTTAAGTTCATTAATTCGTTCCCCCCTCCCTTTTTTTAATTCTAGTCTTTGATAAGTAGATGAAAAGTTGTATAGGGGGCACTAACAGAGGACAGCTTCAAGCAACTTAGCATTTATCATAATAAAAAGGGGCCAATTTGATTGTTCAAAACTATGAAAATTCTTTCTCTCTCATACGTTTTACTAAACTTTGAAATTTCTAGTTTTCATCTGTTTGAATTAACTCAATTATTATTGAAAGTTTTCAACGTCATATCAGTTAGGTTAATACATAAATAATATATGAAAGCTTTGAGTATAGCATAGACATCGAGACTGGGCAAAGGACCAGGGTAGGGGATGGGGGGCTACCCCCCCCCCCCACTTATTTTGGAAAAATATACACATCGTAAAAGCATTGAAAATGCAGCGTACCCTTTTTAGGTTTATTGCTCCCCTCCCCCGTTTGTTACCAACACCTATGTATTGGAAAGATAAAGATTTGGACTGAGGGATCTTATACCCGTCTTCTCCTCTTTTCGACGGGAGTAAATCAGTTCATTTTTGAGGTTATGGTTAGGCTAAGTTTTTTGAAAGATAAATAACAAATAAAATCTTTTCATGACTAAAATATGATTTTTTTTCAAAGTGCGTTAAGTGTCTCCATGGTAAAATATATTGATTCTTAACGCACTTTGAAAAAGTTTTTCAAAGTGCGTTGAGTTGGTCCCAAATTTAACGCACTTTGAAAAAAAATTCAAAGTGTGTTGATTTTGTCCCAATTTTAAAGCACTTTGAAAAAAAATTTCAAAGTGCGTAATTTTTTCAAAGTGTGTTGCCACATAGTTATCAGTGGAAGTCCTCTGGGATCATCAAAATACTGATTGATTTAATTTCAGGCATGGCTGAAAATAACTGTGTCTGGGAAAGGAGGCCCATGCTTCATCGTAAAACAATGGAATTAGCTGAGAAAAAATACAGAGGCAAAATTCTCCATTGAAAGCTTTTCTCCTTTCATAGAAGCATCAGAATTGAATCTTTTTGATAATAATTTTATGGTTATCAAGTATTCTGGACTTTCTTTAAAAGAAAATTTTCTCTTTATTGTCATAGTAAATATAATCATATCACATTCCCTGAGCTCTCTCTGTCTCAGATCTAAGTATATGATAATTTTTTCCAAATAGAAATGTACAGCACAGAGGAGGGACTAGAAGCTACCTTTCAGATTGTAAATTTCATTGGTTGGTCCCCACACCCATCTCAGGTATTTATAGAATAATCCTTTATATCTCGAGCTATACAAAGTATCAGGTTGGGTAAGTTCCAGTCTTAGTTACACACAATTAAAACTATTTTAAAATCTATCAGAGAACCAATTTTATCCAGAGTCTAACAGAGATGATGCCTTTTATAATACAGGCTCAGGCACTTATTTAGCCCTATGGAGCCAGACTTTTTTCCTCTCAATATTTTGAAGTGGAATTTAGTCATAATTCTCTAATAAAGAAATGTTTAACATGTTTTTAAAATTTCAAACAGTATTTTGTTAAATTTTTAGCCCACATCAGAAGTTAGCTTTTCTTATTACACAGTTTCAGATGTCTGTCTGTCTGTAGATGTCTGTCCATCCATCTGTAGACTTATCATTTTCAACTTTTTCTCAGATAATTTAAAAATTTGTTAAATATCTTTTTAAGGTTTCGAAGCTTTATTGATACATGTGTGTTTTCTTCTCACATTTCTCCAGGATGTAGATCTGTTGCTGCACATAGTTCACTAAGTTAATTTCTTGTGTCGTCCATTTTTCAGCCAAAACCATTACAAAGGGGATCAGCCCAGTTTTCTCTGAAGGATATTGATAAAATTGACGAGTTAACCAAGGAAATGGAATCACTAACAAAGGATCTGGATACAGAGTTAAACCAAAAGAAAGACAAATAACACAGACAGGATAAATAAGAAAGATAATGCAGTCAGGGCAGTTAACAAAAATAAAGAATTTGTCAACATAACAAACAAAAAAATGAGTGTATGATAATGCAATGTATATTTATTAAAATGACACAACCTAATAAATCTATGAGATAATATATTTAATCTGTTCATTTGTGTTCTGATCTCTTGGAATGAAATAAGAATTGCTGCTGCCTTCAACTCGACATTTTGTATATCTTAGGTTGTTTTGTCAGTTAACAATGGTTACTGTATACCGGGTTATTTTCGTCCTGTGTTATTTTTGCCCTTTTACATATGAAAACAAGTTTGCCCCATTTTAAATTCGCCCATAAAGATTTTTGTGTAAGATATTGTACAGTTTACTTTGAATTCGCCCTTGCCAGACTAGGGTGAAAGGGGCGAAAATAAACGGGGGCGAACATTTCCCTGTATACATGTTTTGAATTCTTATGTCGATTCAGTATATCCCGATGATCTTGAGATAAACAATATCACAAAGTCCAACACATCTGTTTCATATTTGGATAGTTTACTTGAAAAAGACGTCAATGGTAATCTAAAACCCAAGCTCTTTGATAAACATGATGAATTTAACTTTCCAATCGTCAACTTCCCTCTTAAGCAGCAATATACCTTCATCACCTGTATACATGTATATAGTTATAAGGTATCTTCCGGCCATGACAAGGAGCACACGCTGGGTGTAACCAATCGGCATACTCCACTAATTAAGTCCTTTCAAATGACACCAAGGTCAATGACCTAGTGACTTTCAATGTGACCTATGACCTAAAAATACTAGTAGCTTTTTCATACTTTGTTGCTGCCAGGTCCGTGTTTGCCCATTCTTTTATCTTGTATAGTTTTATGGACTTTTAAATACTGTTTGTTATGTCCATATACCGTAGTAGTCCATATACACAACACTTCTTTGATGAATATGAAAAAAAAAATCAATATTTGCCATTTTAAAGCAAGTTTTTTTTGCAACCCTACAGTTTGCAAGATTGATCCACATGAAGTTATGGAGCTTCCAAGGGATCAATCTCCCAAGCAATGGCCACACAGAAAACTTTTAAACAAAAAATTATTCCTTTAAAAGTGTCTTGATGCGGATTTATGATTATGATATTTATCGTATATACATGTAGTCAAAATAATTTTTTCTCTCAAATTGTGCACTGTAAATTTATATCCCATTTAGGATATTATACTCCCAACGGACTATTATATCCAGTTTGGATGAGTGGTCTTAACCTTTAAAAAAAGATGCTTGAGTTTCTGATCAACAGTATCTATTAAAATTGCGCCCTGTTATCAGCAGACCTCTTTTTATTGTAATTATGAAGCTAAAGTCTTCAGCGAGAAAAGAAAAAAAAACACTTGCTGTGGCATTGAAATACTAGAATATCGACGACATGTCAATTAACAATCATTGTAATTTACATTCTTATGTCGATATTATATATCCTGGTGAATTCGAGATAAAACATATGTCAGAATCTGACACATCTTTTTTATATTTGGATAATTTACTTGCTGAAAAGGACGTTAATGGTGATCTAACAACCATGCCCTATGATAAACGTGATGACTTTAGAAAAACTTTTTGTATCGTCAACTTTCCTTACTTATGAGGTAATATTACCTTTATCACCATATGGGGTTTATATCTACGCTCTATGTATAAACAATTTCTAAAACGAAGTAAATTATTGAGAAACAAATGGATAGATGCTTAGTCTCAGTTGATTCGATACGCAAGAGCATGCTCTGAACAATTTCTAAAACGAGGAAAATTATTGACAAGCAAGTTGATGAAACAAGAATAAGCAGTCTCGTTTAAAGTCATCAATTCGTAAGTTCTGCGGTCGATATAATGACATTGTCAGAAAATACAATTTACTAGTATCATTAAGTCAAATGCTGACTGATGTTTTTCTTACTAATTCGATCAATTGTTAGTCCATTATTTATTCACCAAACTGACGACGGATTTCCCCGTTATTTTCGGTCATGACAAGGAACACAGGGCGAGTGTGAACAATCGGCATGGGATGGTCATTCCCCCATGGCACCTGATCCCACCTCTGATGTTTTGTGGTCTGTGTTTGCTTTGCACCTATTTTGTATTTTTTGCATGGACTTTTGATCTTTAATACTGTTCGTAATCCCCACATGTTTCATCTATGCAATTAAAACCAAGTTATAAAATAAAGATACAAAATTATAAAAGAATCGACAATTTATATACAAATGCTATGGTAATTTTTCAAAATTCAGGATTATCTCCCTCATGCATAGCTCTTATTCTTCTACGTATCTGGCTCCTGTCTTTGGCACGCTTTTTTCAACTCGATCAAGGCTTTTTTTTAAAAGTATTTTGGATTTCCAACATTTTGGATTGCGATGCAGTCCAACGGATGCTGTCTTCATGTGGTGTTTCTTAATGCATTTCATAATTTAAGGCTTGATTTAGGGTTAGGGTTAGTAAAAATATTGAAACCAATTTGACTTTCAATGCGACGCCTGCCTCTAACGTTTAACCAATTAACAAATTAATTAATAGCATTTCCCCCTCTAACAGTATAAATCGGACCTGAACAAACTTTAGAATTTATACATGGAAACATTAATTTTAATAAAAAGTTAAATTCCACTATTGGAAAATATGTTTATAACGCATTTATTTTATTTGACTGTAGTTGCTTCCAGCTGTTTAAGTAAGTATTAAAAGATTTTAATATATTACAGTACTAGTATAGGAGTTTTATGAAAAGACTTACTTTTACAATTGACGACTGACAATTTAAACATAGACAAACTTCACTCACTAAAATGTAAAAGCCCGCTGTCAAATGTAAAAGTAAGCCTCTTCATAAAACTCCATGTAACGTGCCCGAGGTATGAGGCTTTATAATTGATCAAATCTCCAATGAAGGAGATATATTTCATTGTAACCAATATATGTGGTACTTCCTGGTAATTTGTTATTTGGTAATCCTGGTTGATTTGGTAAGATAAATCCCTGTGTTGGTCAGTAAAATATTGCATTGCAGAGGCAAACAAAAGCACAACATAAGATAATTCAAGTTTCAGCAATAATTTAATAAAGGAATAACAGTTACTGTAATACTGATGACTGGAAAAACCAAATAAACAGTGGTGATAATACAATTGGTCAGACCGGACGTCACATATGATTATGATTTGGTCACGCTATTATGATTTGGTAACGTTATTATGATTTGGTAAAGTGATGACTGTTGATTTTCCGTAATAAATCAATTTGGTCAAATGTACACAATGGTAAAACTTCAAAGAGACTGTTGAATTCCTTAATAAACCTATTTGGTCAATATAATCTATAGTAAAAACTCCCCATTCGTTAGTTATATCAGTATTTACGTACAATTTCTATGAAAGTTGTTGCGCAGACGTTCTGCAGAGTCAAACTGAAACCTCAGCGTCCGTGGCGACGCTTATATAGGGTAAACTACCGGACATGCGCAGTGCGCTTTACCTAACCAAAATGAAAGTGTAGACCAAAATGGCAGACGATACTAACAACATCGCCGAAGTGGGACAAACCATGAAAAATACGAACGATGTGACGCCGAATCGTAAAACAAATACATAGTAATAAACAATGAAGGTAAGTTGCATAAAAAATGTACAATACATGTTGCGTAAAATGTAACAATAATAAAATAATGACGTTCGAGGACGGAGAACAATAACCTAAACCCCCCTTGTAAATTAGAATCTTCCGAATCGCCATGACCAAAAAGGAAAACAACGTGGTCGACAGACACACATGAAAAACGGTATTTACGATCATTTTACAACCTGAACTGTAAGTTAAATGAAATAAACATTCATAATAAATACTGTTTCAATCATAAGAGTCCATAATTTTACGTATCAGTCCATATTTCCTCCGTGGTAAACTTGGTCATTTACCAAACATGAAAGTGTAGGATTTACCAAACATGAAATAACAGGAAGTACCAAACATCGTTTTATAGTACACTTTATAGTAATGTTTACAGTTCAAATATAATTGCTGTAAGAGAAATCGTGTAAAAATAATGATTACAAACTAATTATACACATATGACATATAGAGGGGGGGGGGTCTCAAAACACAAATATTTCACATTATCCCCTCCTTTGAAAAATTGTTCGTCCTCGAACAAAAAAATCTTAAAACAAGTAATATTTGTATGCAATGGTATAATAAACAATTATAATGAAATATCGATATAGAATAGCCCGTAGATTTACAACATGAAATAATACAATTTTTCTTTTCACATGAAGACACAATCCAGTAATGTTTGCAGTGATGACCCACTCCGATGAATTTAAGATACAGTCAAAGGTAATTGTATGAATTATCACACAGTTATATTTACACATATCATAAAATATCAAAACTAAAACATGATCCATTACAAAAATGGTCATCATTCCTTTCAATAAAATAAATATTTTCAAAAATCCATCCCCCTCCCAAAGCATACTCAAAGTTGCTTATAATTCTAACAAATACCCTTAATAATATAAAAGTCTTTATACCTATACCATATAGTCTCACAGTCCATAAGTCAGCATCATCATCGTGAAGGAAGAAAGTTTGTTTCACATCACACAGAATTTCTGTTTCCCTTAACTTCCACAAGTTAGAGTATAAATTGGCGGTTACCACATCTGATTGACATCTCTGGTGATCACATCAAATTAGTCTATTAATCAGGTTAATATATCTGGAATGCCTGTAACAAGGAGTTGATGATCTGTTTTAATACTGTTCATAATTATAAGATCTCTGATTGTAGGTGGTTACCCAAGATGTAGGGTAGAGTGTCACTTGACAGCTAGAACATTATGGCATGCAGGCAGGAGTCTTGGTTTGCATTTATCCTTCCTGTGCTGATCAGACTGCATGTGGACTTGTATCAAACTTTTTCAAACAACCATGGATCAGTGCTGTATATTCTTAAGGGCACTCATATAGAAAGGTAAACAGGTCTGGTAAAAGTAATATAATCATATGT